AACAATAACATTACCTCCTACGTTTTTTGTATTTTTTTAGGTTACAAACACACGAAAGACCTGTGGAAATAATTGAAATGTCAATGGCACGAAGAAAGAAGGATTTGGACAATACAACCTTGCAACAAATTTACTACAATCATGTCGACATAATCGAGGTAAAATTAACAATATCAATAATAACCAACACATTCTTTGGTTGAAATATTTAAATCCATGAACATTGTTTTCAATCACATGGAAAGTACTATTGTTTAAGAGGATTTGTCGACAAAGTTATGAACATATCATCTCTATGATATGAATCATGCAAAAAATGCTCCTCCTCTGTTGACAAGAATGACGTCAACAAGATGTGTAAAAAGTGCAACGATGTCGTAAAAACAACTCCAAGGTAGTAATAAGAAAAAACAAAAAGTTCATATCTTATATTTTGTAAACAAAACACAATTAAAACAATTTTACTATTTGTAGATATAGGCTGATAATAAATGTCGTAGAAGCGAACCTCAGTGGCACTATCACACTTTTTGAAGATGTCGCAATGGTTTACGTGGAGTGTTCTATTGAAGACTACATTAGATCCATTCAGCAGGTAAATATATTTTTCAATTTGTAACTCAAATTCATCTTCAAATACTCCATTCTTAACTCAAAATTCATTCCATATTCATTAGGGAGATGAATTATGTGGTTACTATAGAGGATTGAGCTTGCAATCAACCATTGAATTTCAATTTCTCATCCAAATAATGGTAAGTCCTACAACCCAAGAAGAGAGATGAATTTGGTTGTCGAAGCAATTGCAATGGTTTACAACGTACCTACCAATGATGATGAAATGAAAGAAATGTCAAAATCTCTCAAATCTCCAAGTCATATGCAAAAGAATCAAGAGGCGCCCAAAAAAAAGCAAGTTTAAAGAAGAAAACGTATCGCCGACAAGATAAAATAAGACGACAATGATAGTGTCATTGAAATTGAGGATAATGAAACAACCAGCCGTCTTAAAAGAAAATGTGTGCGGAAAAATTTAAAAGGAAAAGGAAAGAAATCATTTCCTCCTATCATCAACTAAAGAAAGAGAAGACTTGAAGATCATACTTATTTATCTATATCATTTAAATTTAAGAACATTCTTTAGTTACTTTTTAAATTTAAGAACAATCTTTAGTTACTTTCTTGTTGTAGTCCATTTACTTTACATTTAAAAAATATTCATATATTATCTATTTCACCTTGGAACATTAATTATTTATCCCGACCATTTCATACTTTTCTATTAAAAGTGAGTTTAAGAAATTGTTTATGGAATTTTTTTTTGTTTCGTTTGGATTTTTTGGTTTGGTTTGGTTAATTTGAAAAAAGTTGTATGGTTAATTGTTAGTGAGTATATTAAAATAATATTTAAAATAAAATAATTTAAATTGATTTGATGTAAAAGTACGAGAGAGATAATTGAAGTGAATTAAGGTTGATGTGTGGTTGAGTTAAAAAAATGGTTGAGTTAAAATGTTGAAATTTTTTTGAAAATTTTCATAAACAAACATGCTCTTAGTACCTGAAACAAACATCTCCACATGAACTTAATTAGCAAGAAGATTTTTCACCACGTGCATCGCACGTGCATTTTACTAGTTTAATTAAATGTATTGTTTTACACATATTTAATTATTTGAATTATTATCAACATATAATTAATAAAATATAAATAGTACAACAATTCTTATATAAAGGTTATATTATTTACTAAAACATCTATCAACTATTTACTAAAATACTATAAATTTACTAAAATATTAACTAAGATATTAGAGAAATTTCAATTTATAGTGTAAGTCATTGAAAATAAAATTTCTTTCGTTAATCCTTATCCTCCCAACAATTTACCACATATTCTTTTTCATTATAAATAAATTTGGTAAATGAAGATGTGTATTATATAGAAAAAACTGTGGTAAATATATATTCATTGCTACTATTTTAATATTATAAATAATTACAAAATAAATTATAATAGATCAATAAATAAAAAGGATAAATTATTTAATAATCCTATAAGAAAGATAAAGTTTTCTTTTATGTGTATAGCTTCAAACAATGTTACTGTGTTAGTGTTGTACTTTGTTGAACTAGTAAAGTGCACGTGCGATGCACGTGGTGTCGAATGATTTTCGTGGAGTAAGTTTGTAAAATAAATGGGTCGAGTTGAGTAAAAACAATTGAGTTATATTATTTAATTGGATAACAGTGAGGACGATGGGTCGAGTTAAGTTGAATTAAATTTTAAATTAAAAAAATAAAGTGATTAAATAAAAATGAATGGAATTTTTGAAAAATTTTGTATCCAAGCAGTCTTTCTGTATTTAATCGTAATTTCAAACCGAAAACTTTTTAGTAAACAATTCTGTTTGTGGGTCTGCCAAAATTGCATTTTTTTTGAGCTACAGGTAAGTATGAAGTGTTCTTTTATCGGTTTACTCAAGTTATTGCAGTTGACATGTTGGTATAACATAGAGACTGTTCTTGCGAGTGAACACAAATGAAAGGTGATTTGTTCTTCGACACACTTTGTATTTGTAATAATGATGGCATACTCGAAACTCAAAATCGCAAAACCACCCCTGAACTTTAGCCTAAAGGAAAGATCGATTCTTTTGGATCATTCCTTACATCATACGGAACGATCAAAGTTATCAACCGGAAAGAACAAAGATAAGAATCAGACCGATTCCCAAAAGACCTTCATGGATATTCCTCAACGTCCCGGCTAACAATTCCAGAATAAATTGAAGAATTCTTGGGAATCCTACAAAGATCAGCTGACAAAACTCACAACATTCCAATTATATTGAAAAGAAAGAGGTTTGATCAGAAATCAGTCGGTAATGTTCTCTGTGGCTTGCATGCTAAAATGGAAGAACCGAGGAAAATACGGGAAAATAATAATATACCAAACAACGCAGACATTATTAACAAATAACTCCAACTCCCATTCAAAAGACTGTCTAAATCCAGCATCACAAAAGAACTCAACAATTAAAATACAACAAACTATGCTGTCAAAGAAAGGTAAAAAAAACACAACCAATATCCACAAGCAGCTCCTGTTCATCTCACTGCTTTTACATTCAATTTACCCAGAAGATATACATCGAAAGCCACAAGGTTTTCTCAAGTCGTTTAACGCCAATACCCAGAATGTTGCATAAATAATTTTTTTTTTTTAAATTTGCCGATGATTCCATCAGTGTCTTTAAAGACCCCACTAAATCGACCTGTTTGGCTTGGGCGAGGATGACTTGGCCTTGGCAAAATCCACCAAGTCCCTAAAAAGTGCATCCTCGGGCTTTTCCTTCTTATCAGAGCCCACAGGAGTTTTGATCGATAGGCCTTGGGCCTGGCCCACCAGACTGTCGTACGATGAGCCCGACTCGCTGCTCGAGTGGGAGGGCCCACCATGGTGCTGCTCGAAAAACTGCTGCCTCTGATTGTACCTTGAGGGAGGGGGCGGGAGATTGACTGCGGCTGCCGAGGGTAAATGGTCAGCCGATTTGCTCGGAGGGGGATTTTCGTCATATGTTGATTTGAGAGCAAACATGGATGCAGTGGGGTTTACGAAATCGTCGGGAGGTGAGGTGGGCTTTCTTTGGTTGGGTGATAGAGTCGGGCGGGCCGCGTTTGTGGGCCCATATGTTGGCACGGGTCGATCTGTTTCGTACGTGTCGCCGCTTAAATAATCGACGCTCGACTCGACCGGTTTCTTGGCAGCTGGAGGCTTCGCCACGGGTCCCTGTGTGGTGTTGTCCCTTGCTGATCTGGAATTTTACGTGGGTTTTTTACTTTTTACCAGTATAAGTAAAAAAAAAANNNTAAAAAAAAAAAAAGAAAAAAAAAAACGCACACATATTTTCAGACTATACAAGAATTTCTAATCGCAAAAGATTACCTTCGTGATAGTTGAACGAAATCGTCTTCAGACTCCTCATCCTCATGATTCACATTCATAAGTGGCGCAACAGAGGTTTCTCTGTTAACTGCAGAAGAAGCTGTTGATGTTCCTTTTGCAATATTGTCATGCTTAGATAGGACTCGCTGCAAGTTATCGTTCAATGCGAGTCCCCGGCATAAGAGATCCTCATCTCTGTAAAAAGCCGAAAGAAAAAATATAACTAAAGTTGATTTCGCTTAAAATGAAAGTGCTGTGCATAAATACGTTATAGAGATGGTACTCTTACACAGTATTGTTAACGAGGATTGTGACACGCTTCTGGTATGAACGACACTGGTCAACCAAGTCAACGATGATTTCATCTTTCACACCCTATATATGACAGCAAACGAGAAACAAACTAGTTCAAGTCATTTAAAAATTCTGGCATATGTTTGCGAAAAAAACGAGAAAAAAAAAGGTTATCCACGCTTGAGTCCATTGTAAGTTAAAGCCACTACGTGCAAACATTTTCATAAGTAAAAAAAAACAAAAAAAAAAGAGAGGAAGGGAAGAATGAACGAGAGAAAGAAACAGTCACCAGTCATCAGTTTATATTTTTTATAACTGCACAGGTCAAAGAATGAAAGGGAAGTTAAAAACCGACAAGCAAGTTCAACCTGAGGATTATTTGGATCCAACGCAGATAACATTTCCATCAGAACATCTGCAAGTCCATTAGCATTTTGAATCTCGGGCAGGCTGTAACATATTTCAAGAAAACAAGATGTTCAATTTCGAGAATTTGTAGAAGAAAAGAAATATAGATTGACAAGCACAAAAATGCATCGTGATTTTCCTCACAACAGTAATAAGTTCTTTATGGTTATTAAACAGTAGTTTCCACTACTTCAAACATGAACAATGTGCGAACTAAAAGTAAATGCAGATGAAATATATTAAACCAACTAAAAAGTAAATATGAAACTAAACACACCTAAGTCCAGAAACATCAGATTCGAGAGAGGCTTGCACAGCAGCTTCCTCATATGGAGTAGTGTGGACTATCGGATGTGTTTGTGGTGGAGTGAATAGTGGAACACTATCTTCGACCCGAGGTGGAAAGTCAACCCCAGCAGACTACAAAATTCAAAGTACAACACACAATAAATATATGTATACATTTCTCCTAGGACTATAATATGCCTATAGCGGAAAAGCATAACAAAGGACAAATGTCAATATAAGGACATGAACTCGAGATATCACATTTTACTCTTATCAAAAATTTACACTTAACTTCAATTGTGCCTGTAAATTTAGCTAGATAATAAATTGGTCCAGATGATTCAAATCACCTTCAATTCATTGTACGCAGCATAATATTGGGGAAACCTTCCCCCGGGACCCCCTAAAGCTTCTTGCCAAGTATCAATCAACACCAGAATCTTCTCCCTCACGTTCAAATCAGGCTGCAAATTCATCACAAGGTATAAAAATGTCTATAAATAAGGAAAAGGTAAGAACAAAACATCAGCAAAAAAGGTCACATTACCTTCTTCTTCACAATTTTGACCATCTCATGTAGTATATCCCTATCGGCAATCAGCCGAAACACATTTTCCCCACAGTTCTTGCTAAGAGTCTCCAGCACCTGAATCATTAATTATTAGAAGATAGTCTTAAATGTACACAAGTGCATGCTATTAACCACATTCACGGTAGAGAATTTTCAGCATTTAGCACACTCGGAAATCAATTAAATATACAGTTTAGAAAAAATATAGGAGATCAAACATACAAATAGCGCAAGGAGCTGAATTTTAGGGCTTTTGTTCCCCAATTTTTTCTTCAATATCTTCAGTGCATCCTTTGCTTGCCTGCGATTTAAATTACAATTATGACTTAACAAAACAGGTCGGATCATTGAATACATCATTCAAGTTAAACTGAAATTTTGGAAGTATATTTCAAGTAAATGTAAAAGTACCCAGGTTCCATGTTTATTATGTCGCATAGTTCTATATTTATGGCCCAGTCTGGACCAATCAGCATATCACTGGTAGCCCTCTCAGCAATAGCAGCCGCATTTGCCATTTTTCGATTATTTTCTAGTCGCGAAAAACGTTTCAATTCCTAAAACAAACGAACCAAACCACGTCATCAGTTTTGGTGACATGCATGTCGCCAAAAGGATACACTTCACTCATTTGTTGTTTGAATAACGAATGCACTCAACTCCCAAATAACGGGTTTCGTGAATTTGAACAAACGAGCAAAAAATCGATCAAATCATATTTACACAAAAGCATACCGAGAATAAAACTACAGGACTAGCAACCTTAAACAGAAAAGGAAAATAACAACACAAATTTCAACACGCACGACACATACATTTCACTAGCAACATCTCCAAATCACGATAAGCAAGCCATCGCAAGTAAAATCTGATGCCCAGCAGACAGAAAAGGGCATAAATTAGAACTACACCCAATCATATTAACATAAACGAACAATCAGACTTCATTCAGACGACCCCACCAAAGAAAAACCTAATTCGAGCTGCAAGGAAGTAAACCCATGAACTCAAAAACCAACACCACCGCATAAAATCGAAACATAACCGGCAAAAATGATAAAACCTCAAAGATCGCACCTTTTTTGGAAAGGGTTCAAGATTAAAAACAGTTCAAGTGAAAAAACAACAACAATAGATCAAATGATTGCGAAATAAGGGGATCAGCAGACAAGAAGATACAGAATCGTAGAGAAGATACCTCTGCCAAAACCCTCGAAGTCCAGTCCAGACGAGAGAGGTGTAGAGAGAGAAACACCGGCAAATTGTTGAGGCTTTAGAGAGAAGAAAAAGAGTGCGGTGTGTAAAATGATGGGCTGATGGGATTATTTAGCTGGGGAGACTTGAGATCTTTTGCGCGTAAAG